ACACTAATACCTAGAGACTATTGCAATTAACTGCCATCGACCTCCCTATGTATACACCGTATACAAACTGGCACCGTGATAATACTGTATCTATTATGGTAGTGTATTTATGTACAACATATGACGTTTATTGTGCAGAAAAATATGTTCCTACCATAGAAAATAGGGATATTTATGCAGCATAACCTTAGACTGAAGATATGTACAGTAATTGAATTCACATGTAACCAATAAATAACACCAATATAACAGATATAATATTATAACCGATAATATTGAAACGTTCTCAAAAATTTACCAAGAAAATGTATGTCATCTTTTATCTTTAGTTTTGAAAACATAATATTTTAGTGTAGTTTTTGCCAAGTGTACGTACATCAGTTAAAATATCATACTACAACATCTATTTTATTCATATTTTGACTATTTTCGGGTTTACTACGGTAGAAAATACAAAATGATTTACACACAAATGTAATTTAAAGTTTATTATAACTATAGTTCGGCCGCTTAGAAAGCGACCTCCTCCAGCATTGGTTTAGCATTAGCGCGCAGGTCGTTTTCTAAGCGGCCGAACTATAGCTGTTACCCACGGGCTCCACCCCGTTTTACTACATTAGTAATTAATAAAACTATTGATTGGTTAAGTTAAGATGAAATAAACAAAACAGAATACAAACAAATAATAACAGCTGAGGTATTTTTAACATTAGGTAAATGGAAAGATCCCTTCGGAAAGCAATTACGACCTTAGAGGGCAGTTTATGAAATAATGGATAATTTTGCGCAAGGTTTCTCGTCATGACGAACATTTTAAGTATATGGTTAATGGGGGTGTGACTTGTAGTTTTCTCAAAAGTTCATGGGTACTTTTGGCTTTATATATACGAGCTGGTGGCCCGTCCTAGGTACGGGAATCGAGTTGTCAACTAAAACGGAATAATTCAGAACATCTAGTTTACACGCATAGACACAAATTCTGGCAATTTTAATGGGGAAGATCACCTTATAAACAAAAGTAACGTGACAACCTATTTATTCCATTCGAATAAAGACCTAAAATATGGCGATATGCATTTTAAATCCGATAATTTTACCATAAAACAGCATTTGTGTCGATTTGAAAAATATTGAAGTGAGATTGGCGACCGATTCACACTGGTTTTGAGTAGAGTAGCTACATGCTACCTCCAATTTATTGCATACTGTACTACTTATGTACTTACCGTACCTTATCTTACCTCCGTGACCACTGAAACCTTTATGAGGATTCTCTTCTATCACCTGCCTCTTCAAAATTTAGATCCCAGTCTGAGGATGCATTTCATAACTTGATATTCCTGTCTATCGTGTGGTACTCCTTGGAATATACTTTTTAAAAGTTTATGCACAGCCTGTCCATCCAAGCTTTACCTACTTCTGGAAAGCATCCCTATATTTGGGTGTTAACACATTTCTCTTAGCTCTCTGATCTTTTTTATTTCGACCTCCAGGCCGTTTTCTTGAACTGGTCTGTATATTTTCTCTGTACTTTATTATCTAACCCAGCATTAAGGTTTTTCGGTTCTTTGGTCAGTGCCCAAGTTTCTGAATCATCAGTACTACGGGGATAGTTGGTATGGTATGAGTCGACTTCGGTTTCTGCTGCACCCTGCAGTTTATTTGGCAGTTTTATAGAGACCTACTACACCGATTGACGCTTTCATTACTAACCAACATTTTAGTATGCCGACGTACTCACATTCAAACATACAGAAAAAGAAGTAGGTATCAACACGTAAACCACTTATATCTTAAATAATTAAGCAATAAACTGCTGAAAAGATGTTTCCCAAATATGAGTTGAAATTTGCAATGCATAAACTAAATACTTACACAGATTGCATTTACGACAAAACTTGAGTAAACACAAGTGTTTGAGATGTTTAGTTCAAAATAACACATTTCCTGATAACGGAGATCCTTCACGGTAGGGGTAAACTATCTACATTTTAAAGTGAAATAGTATGTAGGCAAACACTAACGAACAATATTTTTGGAAACAAACAACTCGTAACATAAACATTTCAATGACAGTTATAAACCAGCTGTTAGTTAAACCACCATTGAAAATACTTTAAATTGCTAGCGTCGGCTGCTAGACTTTTTAAAAATTAAAACTTAATTTCTAAAAAACTGAAACCCTAAACTAAAATTATGGCTTCGACATTCCCTAGTTCTCAAAATTATCTTTCTTTCAACACAAAAATCATGAAAATCCGTCAAGTGGTTCATTCAGAATCGTGAAATAAAAAAACCCAGTTTCGTTTTAATATTATAGATAAGATTTCTTTGTAAGGTCAACTTAGAAAATAACTTAATATAGGTAAGTTAAAATAACATAGTAAGTATATTGAATGGATTATATTTAAAGGAACTATCGATGATCAATTCAATATTGACATGTATGGAGCTGTCAACAGTAGGGTAAAAATGAGAGAGCTAGCACCACCGTGTTATTATATCAGAGCTCAGAGATAAAGGAGTTATAGAGTAACTAATATTATGGGTATAAAAGAAGATATTGCTAACGAGTTACATAAGTCGGTAAGAAAGAATTTTCCTCGACGAAAGGTAGTTGTGAAAGGGTTTGACGACCTTTGGCAGTGTGATTTAATTGATATGACAAAATATTACAAGGTCAATAAGGGATTCAAGTATATAATCACAGTAATTGACGTTTTTTCAAAATATGCTTGGTCAAGACCTCTCAAAACTAAAACCAGTAAAGAGGTTACTTTTGCAATGGAAAACATATTAAAACAGGGAAGGGTTCCAAAAAATTTACAATCCGATTTAGGAACAGAATTCTACAATTCCGAGTTTAAAAAGTTGATGGGTGATTATAAAATTAACCACTATTCTACCTACAGCATTTTAAAGTCGAGCGTGGCAGAAAGATTTAATCGCACGTTAAAAAATGTTATGTGGAAAAAATTTACAATTAATGGTACTTACAATTGGATCGACATACTAGACCAACTAATGGACTTCTACAATACAAAGAAACATTCGACTATAAAAATGAAGCCGTGTGACGTATCAAAGAAGAATGAAATGGAATTACTAAAGACCATTTATTCATATAAACAACCCAAACTACGAATGATACCTAAGTTTGAAATTAACGACTACGTCCGCATTAGCAAATATAAAGGGGAATTCGCCAAGGGATATACTCCGAATTATTCCACAGAAATATTTCGCATCACGCAAGTAGTTCCGACAGAACCCGTCACTTACAAGTTGGTAGATGCCGAGAACCAACCCATTGCCGGAGGATTCTATCAAGAAGAGCTAACTAAGGTTAAACATAAAGACGTTTACTTAGTCGAAAAGATTCTCAAGAAGAAGGATGATAAAGTGTTTGTAAAATGGCTTGGTTTTCCTTCGTCCAAAAACTCCTGGATTCAAAAAGATAATATTGTTTAACATGATATATAATAGACATTTTTTATACTGTAGTACTACTGCTTATTGTGAATAAATATATACTAAACTCAAAAACATTTCTTTTATTACATATATAAATTACAATTAAATATAGTAAAAATAAATTATCCTAATATACTTACCTTCGTCAGTCCCGAACCCGGTCCCGTGGCGTCGAAGCCCGAGACGATAACCGCTCGTCAACCTGAAACATGACCTACACAACCTACCTCGTATCGATATCAGTATAAAGACTTGCTTCAGATTGTAAACAAATAATTGGTATATAAATTAGACATCTTATCTGTTGTTTGACTCAAATGAATTGATGATGCACTCGCAGTTATCACTATCGCATGTTTTCTGCAACGTCACGATAAGCCACGATGCAAATCCATTAAGCGCTTATCTAAATACTATACAATCTGTAAATTGTTTAACTTATTTTAAAATACAACATATGTCAGTTCTAAGATTTTTTAAACAGATGAAACTAATATTTTATATATATATTTTTTTAATCACATGGTAGTTTTTAAAATATAAGTTTCGAACACAAATTCCCAAACAAAATATGTCACATATTTGTGGAAACAACCTCAACGTTAAATGATATACGAGCGCATGCCATAAAATCGCTTGCGATTCCACCATAATCGTTTTTAAATTAATCTATATAAACATATTATTTATCCATTATTCCTTACATCAGGCTAACAATTAAACACTCTATTTACTCCACGCATTTGGAAAACTATCTACACTCAACACTAATTGACAAAAGCGACAAGCGTTTGCGAGTTAATCATCACCACCTTAAAAATCAAAATGTTAATTTAAATATTTATAATACATCTTGTCACACCTGTACCCTCCACGGTGTCAGCTCTCTCGTCCGTCCACCACGACACACCACCGACACCTTTCCCGTGTGCCAGCCTCCGCGGTGCCAGCTCTCTCAACCGTCCACCCCGACACGCCGACGGAAACTTTCGACACCGTGTGCCAGCTCTCTCACCGTGCCAGCTCTCTCACCCATGTACGTTCTCCCCGTGCCAGTTCTCTCAGCCGTTTAATAACACGGTGGTGCTAGCTCTCTCATTTTTACCCTACTGTCAACATTCAATAGCTGTCAATCGGTAGCACACGCAAACTACGAAATCAAAATGTCGATGTTGTAGATCGAGAGGGACGACTCGGGTGAGTTATGCATCTATTGAGTAAGTTCTGCTTTTGATGCCATTCGATCATTCAAACATAGAGAAACGATATCTCACTATTGACAGAGAGGTGGTTGAACCACCAACAAGTCATTCGATTATTCGCACAAACTATGACGATCAATGTATCGATGTTATATATCGAAAGGGAAGATCCGTTTGAGTAATGAATCTATCAGTAAGTTCTGCTTTAGAGGCCATTTGATTACTCACTCAAACTTAGACAAACTTATCAACATAGTGTGGTTGATCATCCAAGTCATTCGATGATTCGCACAAACCATGACGATCGATGTATCGATGTTACAGATCGAAAGGGACGATCCGTGTGAGTTCTGCATCTGTATTGACAGCAAAGTATTCTGCTGGTGGGGCCAACAACACTGCACCAACAACGAGTCATCCGATAACTCCACAGGTAAATCATTAATAATATCTGGTAGTTAAAATGCTAAAAATATATCGCATAGATACACATGTAAATACAGATCAAATTGATTTCAACCAATTACCATAGAATTCACCACCAACTGTTTCAATGTTTGTCTATTATGAAAAATTTACCTATGCATATAATCTGTGTGTTATGTACCAACAAATTGGAAAAGCACACTCGTTTTGGCATATTGCCTCATATTAAAATAAATATTCGAAAATGATTGTTATTTTTAGTTTTTGTACATTAATTTTACAATGTATCAAAATCTGTTATTTTCACCTCAAACTCATCTCAATTCTCCATTCTGTTTTCTAATATTCAAGGCCGGCCGCAGCTACGTTGCCACACCACGCCATGGCGTTGTTTTAGAGTAGGCCATGATGCCACATTATTCGCAACTATCGTACACATGTTTAGTGACTCCCATCTTTTTCTAGACTCGACCTCCCCCAGCTGGAGTGATTCCTCGGACAACTCCTCTTCTCTCAACACTACAGACTCCACGGAGCCCTCCACCACGCCGACCTTGTGTACAGTCATGGGTAAGTATCCAGGCAGGGTTTTGACCAAGATTCCACCACATCTGAGACTAAATGTTACTGATTGTGTATGAAACTAGATGTCTTTGTTTCTCACCAATAGCAATAAAGCTGTCAGTAGTTGATTATATATATAGGGTTCTTGAAAAGATAATAATTAATTCCAAATATAAATGGGACGTGAACCCTTAGAGTTAAAAACATTAATTTACCTCGTGACATTCATTTAACATCATATTAGACATTTAAACCTGAAAAGTTTAGTGAACTTGATAATTGTATATGTACTGATTTTACTTATTACTCCATGCTGTACAGGCAGGCAGTACTCTGTGGGCGCTGTGTTGCCCAGGGATACAGGCACCTGTCTGGAATGTGTCTGTGGCAAGGCTGGCAGAGTTACATGTAGCCCCAAGGACTAACATGTCCGAGTACAGTCAAGACTGTATTGAATATGTACTGATGTTACTTAATACTCCATGTTGTACAGGCAGGCAGTACTCTGTGGGTGCTGTGTTGCCCAGGGACACATGCACCTGTCTGGAGTGTGTCTGTGGCAAGGCTGGCAGTGTTACATGTAGCCCCAATGACTGTATTGTATATGTACTGATGTTACTTATTACTCCATGGTGTGCAGGCAGGCAGTACTCTGTGGGTGTTGTGCTGCCCAGGGACACAGGCACCTGTCTGGAATGTGTCTGTGGCAAGGCTGGCAGTGTTACATGTAGCCCCAATGACTGTATTGTATATGTACTGATGTTACTTATTACTCCATGGTGTGCAGGCAGGCAGTACTCTGTGGGTGTTGTGCTGCCCAGGGACACAGGCACCTGTCTGGAATGTGTCTGTGGCAAGGCTGGCAGTGTTACATGTAGCCCCAATGACTGTATTGTATATGTACTGATGTTACTTATTACTTCATGTTGTACAGGCAGGCAGTACTCTGTGGGTGCTGTGCTGCCCAGGGATACAGGCACCTGTCTGGAGTGTGTCTGTGACAATGCTGGCAGAGTTACATGTAGCCCCAATGACTGTATTGTATATGTACTGATTATTACTCCATGTTGTACAGGCAGGCAGTACTCTGTGGGTGCTGTGCTGCCCAGGGATACAGGCACCTGTCTGGAGTGTGTCTGTGGAAAAGCTGGCAGAGTTACATGTAGCCCCAAGGACTGTATACGTCCAAGTGACGACTTCCACAACTCGGACCCAAGTAACTCCTTGGATATGTTCGACGTCGATGTATTCTGAGCTACCTAGAGTTTTCCTTCCCTTATAATCCCAAGGTGGTAATAGCTGTGATGGTTTCCACGTCCCACTTCACAATCCAAATAAAAAGAATGATGGTCGGAGAGCCATATGAATCACCAAATAGCCTGTATGTACTGCTTAGTTAGGTTGATTTTGTTATTTTTCTTATTTTGATTTTGGAAAAACAAGGAGTTTTTTTTTATTTTTCACAACATGCCATTTATTTTTTAATTCCACATTAGAGTCAATTGATTTTCATCAGTTTGCGGCATTATGAATAATTGAGAATGATAAATGTGCGTTCACGGGAGGCGAACCAATACGTATAATTACAGCAGTATTAAAAACGAATTATTGTGAAGTGGGATATCGACATATAGATTTTTATTTATTGTAGGCTATTTATTTAAGTTTGAGTCTTAAATAAAAAACGCTAGCTTTTAATAACTTTTATTATTTTACATTTTAAATGCACACTATTTTTTTATATTTACACCCATAAATATGCGATAAAATTATGTTTACATAAGAAAAGACATTGTAATGGACTTTAACAAATATTCCGAGAATCACTCGACATTTGCTTTTCAAATAAATCAAACGACCACAAGCAATACAATTATTAGTATACTGTACATCAATAATTTTGTTTAAAAATATCTTTTAAACTGTATTGTCTTTCGTGTGTGTATATAGTGACTGTGTCAACTTAAACATCGTTCAATGATACTTTATGTTAATAGGCTACTTTAATCTCTCTAGAAACACTGTATGTATGTATATCACATTAAAAAATCTTAAGTGTATCCAAGTGTTCTTAGACGTATTCAATTATACCTTCTGATCATTTAAATTTTCCAACAGTGTTTCCATAGCCTATAGTTATAAAAATATTTTCTGCAGTTTATAAAATGACATATCAGTACAAAATTTACTTTACTTCACTGAAGCCTTTGTTGGATATGTCAGTAAACAGACAATAATAGGTAGTCTACTTAGAAAACCAGTCGGGCATTATTTGCTTCTAGAGTTTCTAAAGCTTATTTAAAATATGCACCAATATTACAGAAAAAGATATTCGTAATATTATTTATCTTCTTTCAATGCAATCTGATATCAAACAAAAAATGCATTATATAACTTTTATGAGACAATCTTCAAAAGCCAACGGCCTATTCTAACAACCCAAACTTGTCTGCTAAACTTCCCTAATCGCCTTTCAAAAACTCTTTCAAATAAAAATTTTGTTTTAACTAATAAAAAAAATGTTTGGTTGTGCTAGTTTTTTTTTAATTGCGTAGGTATTCTGTAGATAATTATTAGTAGTTAAATATTTTATTGTTATTCCAGCTATGTCAACTGTAAAAGTTTCGTTCGTGTAACAGCAGTTGAGTGCTTATGATGACGTAATTTTCAAGCATTTTACATGTGGTTTTCAAATGCAATATCTGTATCTATTTCAGTGTATCATAGTTTCTTCGTGTCTATATCTTCCTGGCGGCATATCTAGATACATTATATTGTGATATTCTAGTCTATAGTATAATTAAAGGCATCTTTGCTTATAGGGCATTTTCGTAACAACATTTTAATTCTTAAAGTTAAGAAATAATAAATATAAAAATTTTAAAATAATTTCATAAATATTTTATATTTTAAATAATTATAAAATGATTTTATTTTAAAATATTTTTAATTTTAATATTTTATAAGTTTTTATTTTAAAAACCAAACACAACAAATCTTTGAGTGTTGACTGTTTGATTTAACTATACTTTAATACAGATTTCACACTTTATATTTTCTTTGTGATGTCATTATTATATAATTTTTTAATTAAATAAATTTTTATTAAATCAACTCAACGCAGCATTTTTAATCTCTCTGTGCTTAATTCATCTCAAAGATTGTCTAAAATCATAGAATAATTATGTATTTTTTTAACTGTTCATTATATCTCAACATATTATACTGCAAATTAATACGTTTAAATTATTAGATACAATTTTTATTTTATTTTTTATTGACAATATGACCCTCTATAAGTAATGATGCTATTAGAGTAGTTTTTATATCAGTAAGTACCATACAGAAGTATTTGTATATGTAGTAAATTAGTATAATTTTTGTAATTTAGTAAAGCGTAGGTGAACTATGTGATTGTAATTATTAACATATTTGTTGAAAGGTATTTTTGTTGTTTATCCCTTACTTTTATTACTCACCTTTGTATAAATTGCTTATTATTTCAATCTATGTACTACATACCTGTAAACATTCCCATGGAAATTAAAAAAACACGGTACAAATTTAACTTACATGAATATATTTGAGATCCTTATTAGGTAAACTGAAATTCACTATTATACTTTTTAGTTCTTAACCATAGTTTAGGTAATATTACTTCAAATTATAATTATAGTCCTAACGATCCATACTTAAGCTAGGAAAGGCTTGGTTTTATCTACTCTTCTCTTTCTTACCTTTCCTATTGTACCAATCTCCACGTCTATAGAGTATTTTCATAAATTGCACTAGGTATATGTAGTAATCATAAAGGATACCGTAGATGTTATTAGAGTTAAGGTAGTTTGAGAACTAAAGCAATTCAAAATTGAACTACCACCAAACTTTGATACCCACCGTCTTTCCCAGTACAATTGTTTGCTATTTGAATATAGTAACGATCTTATTTTATAACCTTTTTATAGTTGTTATGTATTAAATATGTTAATTCCTCTGAGTTTTTTATTGAAGCTAAACAGTGTTTTAGTTGTTAATGATTAAGATGCATATTGTAACGCCTAAAACAGCGGTGACATGTATGGTTATTTATTATTAAAAGAGTCAATATAATGTATTGTTCCTAATTTACAATCCTGGATCTTACCTGACTTTTTCACATGCAGAATATTTTTTTGTTTTACTGTACAGGGTGTCCCCGAATTTCCTACCGACCGTTTTAGGTAGAAGTACCAATATCTAACAATATTATTACGTAAAAAATTTTCAAAACTCAAAAGTTACCCATGCAGCCGCCATGTTGTCTTTTTCACAAAGTAATTTTAATTGATTTACGGTTTTTTGTATAAATTGAATTTCGGTACATAGGTTAATTTGCAAAAACCTATTTTGATGAAAATATTATTTTTCTCTCATGTTTATATTAGAAATTGGGGCCATTTAAAATTTTGTCATTTACATAACATACAAACTGCATACGTAAACTAAACTACAGTAGTATGTTTTATTCAGACAGTTTCATTACGATTCTAACGATACCAAATTTAAGAAAATTGGTTAGGAAAACCAGCTAAATCAATTTAAAAATAGAAAGGAAACATTTTTTTTAGATACTAATAAAGTGATTTGCGGACAGTAAAATATCAATTTTAAACACTCTATTCTATTTCATATAATTATGTTTCTTTAAATTTAAATTTCAACGTGTCGTATTAAATGTGATTTGAAATTAGAATTTTAAACACAAATTATACTGTGAAATTGGCTGAGAAAACATTTACAGCGTGCATTTTATAAGCATCAAAAACGCCTTCTTAAGGAACATTACGCTGTAACCTCATCATAAATCTTATTTTAGAAGAGCCCCACTTCAATGAATAATCTAAATATCAAAGACCTCTCACCCTTTTATCTGGCTATCTTTTCATCCAACATCTTAAAGCCTTTAACATCCTAAAGATGGAAAATGTCTTTAAAATAACCCTAATTGTATCCCATTTTGGCATGCGCCTCCTCATGAAGTCCTACATTTTTGAATCTAGAATTTTCTATCGACAATAATTGATGATAGTAATCCTAAGAATAATAATGTACTTGTGTGCAAAATAAAAATACAAATAAATGATTAATAAATTATGTAACCTATGTTTGAACAAATCGATTGCGTCACTCGTATCAACAGGAGTTTACCATGAACGAAAATGTCACTGTATTTTGTACCACTGGATGGTCTCATTTACAATAATTTTATCTAGAATTATCTATACTATTATAAAATTGAGGTGGTGTCCGTCTGTCTGGGTGGCTGTCGTGACTAAAATACTAAACCAAAGATAATACTAAACCACTTCCTTGAGGTCCCCTCGGGCTTCGCCCCGTAGACGTCCAGAGTTTTGAGGTGAGGTTTTCAAAAGTAAATATTGATTGATCTCCTTGGCAGAATGAGGAATTTATTATGGTTATCTTTGCTTTGACATTTCAATATAAACAAGAAACACAGCAAAATGCTCATTTCGCAATTTCAGACAGCTGGATCAAAGAAATGAAATATATTTCACACAAATATGTGGTAGGATTATTTAATCCAAAAGTTTATAGCAGATTATTTTCTAAATGTCAATGATTATGAAAATAATTTGTCTTCCCGTTGCGAAGCACGGGTGCAGCAGCTAGTAGTATTAAAAATATTTCTGCGATAAATGAACAGATAATGACATTGCGGCTAAGAGTAAGAGGGCATAAATTGGTGATTGTTGGAGTGGTGTTGGAGTTACAATAGTACAAAATGTAAGGGTGAAAGAGATGTTAAATGATACCCTTATTTCAGTCTTGGAAGGGATACTGCAGGATTATGACGTGGTCTCAGGAGGGGCCTTAATGAAAGAATTGGGGGCCACATGGAGAGGACATAGCAGACAATAAAGAGCCACTGATGGATGCATTTGGCTAGCTTGATCTGAAGATAGTGTTTTTAAATCACAAATAAAACATATATGCATGGCATCAGGATACAAGGGAATTAAAGCTGATTATTGATTATTTAATAGTCAAGCATTACAGATTGGGGAGCGAGCTGGTCTAGTGGTAAGTGCGGGACTTCAGTCCCTGAGGTCCCGGGTTCAAATCCCACAAAACCACCAATGGATTTTATCTAAGTGATAATGCCGCAACCCCTAGGTCTAGCCTAGTAATGTGAAAAACAATCCCGGGCTCGTACCTAGTGTCCTAGGAAAAAAATTGTCAAGCAAACAATAAAACTAAAAATTAACAACCAATAATGTTATAAAACTTGGAGGACTACTGCGTATAGGATCCTAGTTAATATTTTAGAAAACAAATGAGTAAGTGATATTTAATACTAACTATCGAGGAAAACTCGTAAAATAGCGTTACATTCAGTGAATGATTCTAATAAACGTTGAACAGTCGTCCAAATGCTTTTAAGTTTAACAATTTCGATGTCAAGACAAAGTGTAGAAGAATGTACCGTTAATGGCTCGTTGAAATTTTAATTGCTACGATTGAGGTAAGTGAGCTAATCTGCCTCCCGCCCCAGGCGCACTTGGGTGGCTGTCGCTGAGCTTTAGAGATACTTTTAAATTGTATGTAAAAACCACTACGTGTAAAAAATTGTTTTACAATAAACAAAGGTTTTTGTTTAAATTATTGTAAAACTAGCTGTAACCCGCGGGCTTTGCCCCGTTTAACTTCTTAATTTTCAAGATTATCTCGTTCGCATGGCTCAATCACATCCTGGTTGAAGTTTGTTCGCTACGCTCACTCACCTTTAGGTTGGAGCTCGTTCGCTGCGCTCACTTGCCTTCAGGTTAGCTAGTTCGCTACGCTAACTCGCCTCCAGGTTGAAGTTCGTTCGCTACGCTCACTCACCTTTTGGTTGCAAATTAGCTGTTGTCATAAATGTAAAAGAAATTATAGTGCTGCACCCTGTTGGTAATCCTTGTAACTTTAATGCTATTGAACATCATAGAACAGAACCAACTTGTTTAATTGAAACAGCTGTTAAGATTCAATGATTCCATTTCTCATAAGGTTAACATGGGAAACTCCAGAGCCACTGGGGCGGAGCCCGAAAGGATTTTTGAAATAAGAATATTCCTATATGTTAATCGGGAATGTGAGCTATCATCATGCCACATTTCAGCCCAATCCGACCAGTATTTTTCGCGTTCACTTGTCACAAACATACATCCATACATCCATACATCCATACATCCAAACTTTCTCATTTATAATATTAGTAGGAAGTAGGATAGTTGAGTTTAAGTTGAAAAAGGTAATTGAAACAAATTAATCTGCTTTTAGAAATCGAGTTTAGAATTCAAAAAGACGGAAGGAGCCCCGCAATTACCCATTTACCTTTTCAAGATTATGTGTATTTTTAACAGTTAATAGGAGAACAGAAATACTTATATACAATAAATTTGTAGATTGTTATTCCAGTAATTTAAAACCCACATTTAACCAAATAAAACTATATAGGCCTAATCTTAAACAATAACTCATCCTCTAGTAAGTTATATAACCAAACAGTAAAGCACTAGTCATGAAATTGACTCTTAAAATGGAAACAAGCCTTTCGTTGACACTAGCCAGTAACCAGTGTCGCCGGACATGAACTAGACACGGAAAACGAGCTTCAAAATTTACAATGGAATGGGAAGTCTACTTGTGTTGGTTAGTCTATGCTAAAACGTTAGACGACGAAGCCCTAAATAACATTTATTTTTTAATTACCATTCGCAGGTGTTCTATATCATAAGCTTTAAAATGACACCTCAAGCGTAAAAATAGGTTAAGTAAAACAGCTGGATAAGGGTTGTAACAGGGAAACCCCACGTGTTAAGTATA